TCTGGAAACCTCTGGTCCAACCAAGTACTTTCAAGCACAACACGTAATGCAGTGAGGGTGGAAAGCATTAGTATCATTAGTCAATTTTTGTTGCCACTAGGGTCAGCAGGTAGGAACTATAGGAACTGTACCACCACACAGTGACAAATCTGATAGGTTGCTGATACAATCTGATACGCAAAGCACTTCACTCAGTTTCCAACTACCAAATAACTGTCCATTTTCCGCTCGGTCAATCCGATGATTTCTCGCACGTCATCACCTCGTCCCGTCCAATTGCTGCGGTGCCACTGAGTTTTTGATGCGTTGCACATCAGCAAGAATACCGTTTTTGTTCTCACATACGGACATGGAATGGCACGTATGTGAATCCACATATCCAAAACATAAAGATCATAAAGAAATATAAAGAATAGAACGCCTGTTGCCTACCAAACCTGCAATCAGACACCAATACCAATTTGGTTACAAAATCCTCAGCATCTTTGGTTGTTTCCTTTCCACCATTTGTTTCTTTTCTCTGACACATGCCATGAGGTTCGCGCGCCACAAGTCGCACTGAGCATTTCTCCACTCCCGGGTCTTGAACTCCGTTTTCTGGCGCATAGGACGGTGGTGGCGGTAAGGTGATCGTATCATTAGTGGTGGTTTTTCGTGGCCAAGCCACCTGGCATAGTGCGGACATAATCCTCGAATCCATGGGTTCGCGGGATTTGGGGTACACAACCAGACCCAATAATCATCAAACGGATCGACGTTTCAAGATCATTACAAGTTGGGTTTTTGGAGATCATATTGCGAATTCCTCCTGTTTCACGTTCAAAGGTGAAATATATAGCAATCTCGAAAACCCTAGGTTCACGGAAAGGACATCCACAAATTTGGGAAGGTCCCATCGCTTACCACACGTTTGTACAATAATGATATACGGTAAACTTGGGGGGTATCGCTTGCAGGAAACTGCTACATTTTTATTTATATAATTCACAGAAATCAACGTCCAATTTGGGTATCGCTAATGTGGATATTAGAGAAATACAATGACATAACCTTGAAAAGGGGTATCGCTAATTTGGGAAGGTCCCATCGCTTACCGTGTGTTTTTAACAATTTCCATAAATTTCCATAAACCAATGTCCGTCCAATACATATTTAGTATTGCCGGGTTTTTTGCGGTGGCTCATATATCTTATATACCCCTGACCCCTGGCCGAAGCATGCGCGCCCACCACTGGCATCACAAACATTAAAAAATATGCAAATAGAATCAGGTTCACCTGCCAAACATACATGTTGAGTGTTCACTGGGCGTTTACTTTCCTAGTTACTTACTAAGCATATTCACAACCCCTAACTTTATTCCTTCAGTGCCACTGGCCAGCCTGTCGCATCTCCCGGTCATATTTAAAATTCTTCTGATTGTACTCGAACACCGCTTGCACCTCAGCAATCTGCTGAGGTCAACATCGAGCCAAGTGCCAGCTTGTGGCGCGGGGGAAATTGAGCCATGGTCGAATTGTTGAGATGTGGAAACGATGGGTGAAATAATGTTCCACTTCCAAGTTCGTTTGCAGGATGGGACATGGCAACCTTTGCATGCCAACAGCAGGCTCCACAGGCACAAAGGAAATTGGAGCTGGATGGACTTTGGATGCCATGAAACTGATGCAGTTGCAGTCACGGTAGCAATAGCCGTATGTACAGTAACAGTAAGAACGTGGGCACAGTGCCCAATGCCAGAAATCTCTTTGCACCAACATCCGAAACGAAAAGCACATGAACAACTACTCACCAGGACCCCATGTATCACAACTTATTGACCTCAAAAAATTATTGACCAACTTTTTGTTTGGCAATCGGCAATCGCAACTTTCGCATCGGATGAGGTATTCATCCAAAGTATTCCACCCCTTCCAATCAGGAACATGCACGACCATTGTAAGAACATCACGCCTCTTGGTATTGATAATTTACGTTGCAAGAAATTGTTAATTCTAATTTCAATTACTGGTGGGTTTAATGCCCTCTGTGAATTTGGAACCGCCAGTGCCCCAGCGAGTTGACCGCTGATCTTTGGGCTACCAGACGCTGGCGGCAGCTCCTGCCACCTGAACCCGTGCGCCAAAGCAGTTAATGTAACGAATCTTTGTGCGTATCCATAAATTATATAAATTCAAGGAGAAAAAACGGCAAAATGCGGTAAAGAACGACAAAAACAAAATAATTTACTTTTCAAATCCTAGACGCCCGTGGGGCAAGAAACACGGTTTCCGGCATCACTCGTTTTCACTGTTTCACTGGATGCGGCCAACACAACTTATGCTGAACCCAGAAGGATCAACTTCACCAGGTCACTGAGGCATCCTGAGGCCAACACAGCTCCGCCGAGGTATCCAATTTGCATGGTGGCGACGGAATTTTATTCAAAAAATGCACCAAAACATGTTCGGAAACCACTGGCGTGCAGAAGTTTTGCTCTTAGTTTGGGTTGGACATTTGTTGCTGCGGTGTGTTTACATGACTGACTGGACATGTATCCCATGTATCCCGTAGACTTTGGGAAGAAGAAACGGATATCACCTCCCATAAAGAACAAACAAACAAAATCACTGTGTCCGTCAGCCATGAGCCAAAAAATCCCGGGAACAAAATACAAAAGATTGCCCCAAAATGGTCCGCGTCAGCCTGAAGTGGGAAAAACGTGGAAAAACATCCCTACCGTTTTGGGGGGGCCTCCCCAAACTGTAACTTACATTTTGGGTAGGTAAAACTCAGAAATGTAACTTACATTTAGGGGGGTCCCTTTGAAATTTGGAGGGGCCTCAAAGCTGCAATATTACCAATATTACATTTAGAAGGTGAAACCTCCCTAAATGTAAGTTTCATTTTTGAAGATGCAAGTTTTGTTGAAAAGTGTTCACGTCTAAGAAATTTTAAGACAAATATCTAGCAGTGGTGTTAGGTCGTTGGCCGTGAAGAATGCAAGTTGGTGGTCGTAAGGTTTTGTTTGTGTGGATTATGAAAGGTCTCCATTACTCATTTTTCACCGACAGCTGTACATGTGTGACGTAGCAGTTGAAACTTGCAGCATGGCTATAACAACGCTGCTCCGCTTATGGCTCAAGAAAACCTGTTGGCAGCTCAGAGCGCTGTTGACGTCCCCGTTCATGACCCCAAAGGTTATGAGCCCAAACCTCGCTACCGCTGCATAGTATAGCCATGATGATGCAGCGTCGACGCTCAGACCGAGGTGAGACGGCCGACGAGACCTTGGACAGGAGGATTGCCGAAGTTCAAGTGGAAAGGCAGGAGGGCACGCTCTGTACCGCTGAGGGCCTGAGGATGGGCCTGGAGTTCGGAGGTTGGAGTTGGTAGCGCTTGGACTTCGAGAAGAAGCTCAACCTTGTGGAAGAGGAGTACCACAAGCCTTGCGGCCACAAGCGGTGGCACCACCAGCTGAAGTGGGGCAGCAGCAGCTGATGAGGCAAGGTGGAGAGGGGATGCCGAGACCTTTGGTGGCTGGTCAGTTTCTGTGGGGAACATTTCAAGATGCGGCAGGTGCAGTTGGCACTCAGCTGCGTGCATTGGGACGATCTCCTGGAGACCGTGAACCCTCAGGTACCTCAAGGGGATCCTTCTGCTCTACTTCCTCTACCAGGTCTACGTGCTGAACCTCGCAGAGGCAACGATCATGAAGGTGCTGTTCGGGATGGAGGACGTCCAGATTTAATGATGGGATGTTGGGGCCTCTCTCTCTGAGCCTCTGCAGCAGCCGCTGACGCTGATGCCGAAATCTTTGGAGCAGACCTACCAACAGATGGGAGCTCATCTGTTTTGGAGTGCTGCCGTCCAGCAGGAAGCACTAGGATTTTGGCTGAACCTAGCCAATTGGGACCGAAGGAGGGGAGCCAAGTAATGATGACTCCGGTTCGTGAAGTCCAAGCAGCTGCAGCTGCGGTGAGCTGGGCTCCCGTTCCTCCCGTTCCGGCGGTAAGCCCTGCTCCTGCAGTGAAGGCCGCTACATCGGTGAGCCAGGATCCTGTGAGATCTGCGGGTCTTGCGGTGACCCCGGTTCCCGGGGTAGATGGCCAAATGGGAAGAAGCCAAGGAATGGTGGACCCAGCTGCGTTGGCAGTAGAAGAAATCCGAAAACGGGTGATGCGGGAGGCAAAGGAGGCTTTTGCGCCAGAGATGCAGAAGCTGCAGGCACCTGCAGATGAGACCCGGTCGTACCAGACAGCCTCAAGTGGCACGGATGGGCGACAGACCTTGGGTGGTCAGCAGTATGTTCCAACTGGAGGTTGGGTGTGGGTTCCGGAAGGTGGAGGTCAACCAAGCCCTCAACAAGGTGGAAGGCCACCCACCCCACCGTCTGGGATCCAGTCCGGTTATCCTTTGGGAAATCAGGCAACACCTGCGCAGCCAGGTTCATCGTTGACTGAAACATTGTAAGGAACTTGGAGTTGCCGAAGTTGCCAGCTCCCGGTGGCCAAGATGCATCCCTCCAGTTCGGGGACTGGATGACAGTTGTGTATCCCATCATGTGCGATGTGGCTGGAAGCGCCAAGAGTGGTGGACACTGACGGTAAGCACTGTAGAACACCACTATGTGCAGTGGCTGTCCGCAGCACCGCTGGAAAATTTGTGGGTGAATCCAGAAGCTCCTAGACTGGTGGAACAGTTCGCCAGGCTCGAGCAGAGAGGCATCTCCGTGCTGTTGGGCTGTACGCCCGAGACCTTCAGGCAGGAGGCCATTGCCTCACGGCGACTTTCGGCAGTCGGGTCTTGTTCCGATTGTTCACAACATACCAACCGCGCAAGTTAGTGGGGAGATCGGGGGAGTTGCGTGTGACGCTTGACCCTCTGGTGCTGACAGGTGTGCTGGCTAAGTTCGCAGAAGGAACTGTATGGAGAATCCTCAGGACCCAGCTGAGTACCTTGAGGATGGGTTGGAAAGGGACTACCCGTCGTTCTGGGAATGGGTAGAGACAGAGGACTTCATGCGAAGACAGCCGGACGTCTTCAAGATCCGAGTGGATCAAGGGGCATTGGGGCATCCGAGACCAAACCCACGACGTTCATGACCAATATGGCTCAGTTGCGGGAACTGGACGGCATTAAGGCCTCAGCCGCAGGCGAGGAGATTCAAGAAGATCTTCAAAACTGCCTGAGGCAAATCGCTCTGTGGCCATTATGGGCAGCAGGTTTGGTCGAGTCACTTGAGATGGTGATGCCGATGTTTTTGCAGGAACAAAATCAGCAGCCAGTGCTGCAGAAGTTTGACCGTGAGGGGTGGAAAACCATCTGCTATCCCAGCACGTTCCTTACAGACGGGACTGTCGGATTTGCCTGGAAACCATGGGATCAGCAGAACCTCACCGTAGGAAAAAGGGGCAGGAAAGTGCTTTTGTGATGTCAGCAGACATCTGTGGGCTTTTCAATAAGGGAACAGACTTGGGAGTATCCAAGCGCAGGAAGGTGAAGTACGCACTGATCGCGACCATCCCTGTGCCAAAGTGGCCGGCTCCGGGGGAGCAGCAGGAAGTTGACTCTGGCTCTGGGGGATGGAGATGAAAAAGAAAAAGGTCTTCTACCAGAGTCAGAACATGGACCTCCTATAGAAGGTCTGCAGGATCTGTTGGAAGCGCCAAAGCTTAAAGAGTGGGTCTCTGAGGAGGTCGCTACAAAGGAAAAATCAAGTTTGGCAGGAGTTCTTGAAAAAGGAGGCTCGAAGTGCATCAGAAGAGATCCCTGTGGAAAACCTGACGTTCATGGAGCCCATGGCTTCCCATGAGCAGGAAGAAGTCGTCATGGCCCTTTCCAAGATTCATGCTCGAGCTCGGAGTTTGGGGATTCCAGTGTGTCGGTGGCACACCGATCGAGAAAAGTCATTTGCCACCAAGGCCATTTCCAAGTGGTGCTTGGACAGAAAGGTCTTTCAGACTCTGACTGCGGGTGACTAACCAGAGGCGAACAGCAGGGTGGAAGGCGAAGTCCTCCAACGCCGTCTCAGGTTGTTACTTTCGGAAACTGGAGTCAACATGGCCTATTGGCCATGCGCGGCCAGACATGGAGCCGAAGAAAGGCTGCGATCACAATTTCGAAAGTTAGGGGCTAAGTGTAAGGAGATGCCACAATTCGCTGTGATGGCTCGGGTGAAGGCCAAAAACATGGCACCGGGTTCAGGAAGGAGCCTTGTCATCGCCCTACAAGACCATGGGCCCTTCCCCCTCCATGACCAACGGACGGGTTGCCTTTGACGAAGCCGGCAACCGTGTGCAGCCGCGACCGGTTTTTATCCCAGACCCGCTGGGAGAAACTGCTCGACTGGAGCTTGAAGCCGTGGAAAACCCAACTGTCCCGCCTAGGAAAGTTGGAAAAGTTCTACAACCGCCTGCCCGGGTGGTCCAGGTGCCTGCTCAGGGGGAGTTAGAGGCGCCAGCGGCCGTGTCAGTTCGAGATATGGCGGATGCATTTATCCCAGAGATGGCTGCACTGGACGAACCAGAGGACGAGTATGAGCCGTCAAGTGCCAGCGACTCAGCTGCTGATGTGCCTGTGGTGGATAAAGAACCAACTCTCACTGCGTTGCGGGCTGAAGGAGAGGCCTTTTTGATGATGGACTAAGATCATCAGGAGCTCAAACCCAAGGTTGGGGGAAATCGACGTCTCTGAACTCCCAGGGTTTGTGGATGAACTTAAGTACCAGCACTGGAACTTGAAGAAATCTTTGCTGCTGGAACAGTTGAACGCTGTAGCTGGTGACAAGGCCCTTCTGGAGGTGATTCGTCTGATGGGAGGGTCGCACCAGAGCCACAGGGTGAGCCGTGGGTAGAGTCCAAGAAACGTGCTTCGCCAGGTGTGGGGACGGAGCCAATGGTCAAAGTTTTGAGGATGCCGAACCCCGCTACAACACCGTGTGGAGTTTGCGGCGCCCCTTCCGGAAGGAGGTAAGGCTCGATGGCGGTTGGACCTGGTCGAAGGCTGGATGATCAGGTGCCACCGGGAGCCGAGGAGAAGGGCCTTTCACCCGGTCCACAAAAAGGTTCCCTACGCGGTTTCTTCGCTGGAGCCTACCAGGGTCACTGTGGGTTCCGTGGGCCGCCGGCAGCTGTACATGTGTGACATAGCAGTTGAAATTGGCAGTATTGTTTTTCCAACGTTGCTCCATGTTACTCCGCTTATGGCTAAAAAACCTGTTGGCAGCTCAGAGCGCTGTTGACGTCCCTGCTCATAACCCCACAGTTTGTAATGGAAAAATGCAAGCGTTTGGCACCTCCCCCAAAGGATCTCACATTTTCGGTCCCCATGATTCCTTGGGTGCCCTGAAGGTGTTGAAAATATAAGCTGGTGACCTCGAGGCCGTGCTTTGAATGGAAAATTGTAGGGGTTTGGAACTTCCCCCAAAAGGATTTTTTTAGTGGGTTTGAGGCCTTGAAAAATTTTAGGGTTCTGGATGGTTGTGGGGGGAGATGGGGTTGATTCCTGTGGTTTCCCATTTCTTTTGTGCATGTTTTGCTGCAATGGTTTTGGATGACCCGGGTGAAGGGCGATGGAAAATATAAATCGGTCGTCGTAGGGCCTTGTTTTTCATGAAAATTGGAAGTGTTTGGAATTCCCACAGGGGATCTCACATGTTTTTTTTTTGACGTTGCAACCTGTCACAATTAAAATTAGTTTCGCCGAAAACGTGGGATTACGATGATTGCGGGCTCATGGGCGTATAGCATTCTTTACGCTAGCCGCTGGTTTGACATGACGCCGTATTTGCGCGACCACCGTGCGGGGTTCGGACTAACGCGGGAAGCATGCACGCAAAACCATCCACGCGAAAGCCACTCTGGCACACCAAACCCAAAAATGCAAGGAATTGTTTAAATCACGTATTGCATTGTGCAAACAAGGTTTACACCGTCTTGCGAAAACATGCCAAAACTATTCTTGACGCAACTTAATCATATAACCCGACCCTGCTACAAGTGTACGGGCATGTTTTTCACAGCGTGAATGTGGTCAAATCCCTGGTCTGAATTTGGACCCACCCATTTGTAACAGGATGAACTATCATTGAGACGCATTGGTATTTTATGGCAAAATATGGTAATTATAATCTAATGAACTACATTTTTTTTTTTTGTCTCACTCGGCGCGCGTGAAATTTATGACACGTTAAAACACATATTTGGGTTTCATATGTCATCAAGCTCTCCTTAATCTATCACCACCTCTTACGGGGTAAGCACGTTAAAACATTGGAGAACGTTGTCTTGTTCTGACACCCTCATTGGTCAATATCAAATTTCGTTGTGCGACCACAACCGTGGTAAGAACCATGGGAAAGCCAGGGATGATCAAACGACGATGCGAGGGGATCATGGTGGTGCATACATGAACGCAACCAACAAACCTGTAAAGTGAGGGTGGTCTTCTGGATTTTATGTTTTTTTTCCCTCCCTTCTTCGTTGCGTTTTTTTTCCGGCCCACAACCGCAAACCCCAGATCTCCAATGGACACTGCCGGGTGTCAATCGCAAGCTCCAAATCTCAGTCGCTATGCCAGAGAGGCTGCCAAAATCAATCCCAAAAGAATGTCACATAAAATGTTGCACAGAATGCCACATAGATTGCCACGAGATCGAATGTCAGAATAATTGCCAGATAGAATGCCAGAAAAAATGTCAAGGTGTGTGTATGCAAAAAAAAATGCTACGTGCAATGCGGATGTTTTTTTCTCCCGCGCTCAATCCAAACCCTTTTGGGGACTTGGGTGCTTACTGTGGTAGGAGCCGGTTGGCTGGGGATGCCGTTTCCTGCGTCTCGGTTGATGGTTTCCGCTTCCAGCCCATCCTTTTGGAGGAGGGGGGCTCGTCCATACTGCGGCTGATCCCAAGCATAAGCAGTGCTTGATGCAACGGAAGGGTCAACAGACTCGTCATGCTGCGACCAAACTGGCTCTTCGGGATTCGGCAAACCTGGAGCATGCACTCCAAGCGCAGGTGTTCCAATGTGGAAATACTGTGTATCAGGTCCTATTCCCCGTTCCGGCATGCGCGGAATCGTGTGCCGGGGTCTGGAAAGCAAAGGGTGGCCCGTGAGGGAATGTTGGAATCCATCGTTGCGGATAGGGAATTTGGAATTGAGGCGGAAAATGGTGGAATCTCTGGTGCGTCAAGAGGCGTTCCAACTGCTGGGCCATTGAAAACCTTTTGTAAAGGGATCTCATCAGGTTTTTTCTGAGGCGACGAAGATTGTAGAGGAAGCGAATTGGGACGCAGTCCAACCTTCGCGGCAGACACGCCTGGGGTGGACGACGAAAGATTCTTGAAACCCAATTTTTTATGGATCTTCATGAGGGTGTCACACCAGAACTCAGCGTGCTCCTCATCAGCTACAATCTTTGTAGGAGCTGTCTCACAAAGCACAGCTCTCCATGACATGCCTTCAACTTGCGAGCAGGCGGAGGCGGACGAAAGGTAGTGTAGTGGGAGAGGAGTGGTGTCAAAATGCTGCGCCCTTAAGATGATACGCTAAAAACGTTTTTGCGCAGTCTAAGATGATTTTACACAGAACATGACTGCATGATACGGTGTCTTCTGCAGCGTGAAATCTCTACTGTGCTACTGTGGGGGACCGTGACCGCGTCACCCGTGGAAATTGAACCAATGACCATTTTAGGGGGAGGCCTCCCCTTATAATTGATATCTAATACATAACGTCGAGAATTCTACGTTTTGCACGGGCTGACCCCCCAATACCCCTTATGATTGTGCTGAAGCACGGAGAACTCAGGTAGCTGACGCTACCTTTCGTGATGAGCAGAGGGTCACATGCCGTGAACATGCCTTCTAATTGCTATTGAACACCTGAAGGATCAGTTGTCAAGGCCCGGCTCAAAGCTTCTAACGTGCATTCGGTGCCACAAAGCACTGCAGCGATTGTCAGAAAGTTGCCAGCAAGTTCCGGTCCGCCCTCCGTGGCGACTCCATGAGCTCCGGGTTCAAATGTCCAATGAAGGACGTGTCCAAAAGTGATCTCGATCCCAGGTTCATCCGCATCATACAAGGGACACTTCGCAAAGGCCCGAAGATTGGTTTCCAATTTTTCCGACTGAAGATTATCCCTGGCGATCACGTCAACGATGTTTCCTTCCGAATCCAGCTGGAGGTGGAGGTTGGTGCCAAAAGCCTGAGTACTTGAAACCGAAGCAAACTTCCAAAGATCCGCTGGAAACGATCCTGAAAAACCCATTGCAGTCGTCCAGTTTCTCTCCCGTACTGGAGTTTCTGGGCTGCTGCTGGCTCGAAGTTTAAGGAATTGTTTCCCGTTTTTGTGTGATGAAGCTGTCACCAGCTCCGCAGGAACAAATCCTTGCGGCCTTTCTTCTTCACATGAGAAGGCTGTCTGCGCGTCAATCGCTATTCGGCCTACCCCTTCGCTCACGGTGTGCGCTTGCTCTTCTCTCTTTTTCTTGGGATTTTTCCTGTCCGGTGGTTTTTCGATGTTGGAGGCGTCGTCTGCTTGCCTGCCAAGCAAACCGCCACACCCTCATTTTTCCTTACCTTTGAAAAGGTCAGCTTGGCCCTCCTCCAATCCTGGGAAAAGCCCAACAAAGGACTCCAGGTCTTTCTTGATTTTGGCCTTTTGAGTATCCAGCGGGCATCCTCTCAGCAACTCGAACGCAAGTCACTGGTGGCCCCCTTGGATTCTTTGGCCTTGGGGGAACTGGAGCAGAGAGGCCCCCACGTCTTTCGATTCCAAGATCGTAAAGTGCGGAAACGTTCCCGAATTAGGAACCACGATAACACTGTCGGCTCCAGTACGGCCCACGTGAGAACCTGTAATCGAAACTCCTTCAGCTGAAAGGATCGCTGGAGAACTTGACGTGCCACTGACGTACGCTTGGGCGCCACCTGTCACCTGATATGCGGAGAAATCGGCCGAAGTTCCCTTCGGAACAGTCATGCCAATTTTTCGAGCCTGTCCAACAAAAGGTACACGACCAATTCCGGCGTACATCGGCTTGATCAGGCAATGTTGCCAAGGAATGTGGACAAGGTCCGCCAATCAGAGCAATGCCATCTGACAATCCTGTAGTTCCGATCGGGAACACGTCTGGTACTCTGTCGCGCTTCATTTTGTGAATGACCCCGCCTGTGAGGACATACAAGATCTCACCATGTTGGAGCGGCTCCAGCTCCCCGTTTGGACCCGTGAAGCATATTGCGAGGTTTGGAGAAGTCATCCTTCTTTAGTCAGATGCGCAGAAGTCTGTCCAGAAGGACGGATAACTGTCCCCATACGGTGGTTGGTAGCTACAGAACTCATCGTATCGAGACGTTCCGCTGCTATTCCGGCATGTTTGAGCATCTTCTGTGTTACCTTCGCACAAGGGTCCCACCTGCTACGTCCGCTGCTGACTTGCCCTGGTTGGCCAATCCTCGCCTCGTTTCCGGCGATTGAGGGTCGACCGCCGTGATGACGCAATCCTTCAATGAGTTCTGGCCCTGCTTGACAACTGCTACTGTCGTGCTGTCACGCAGTTGGTCCACGGAGGCTTGGCACGTGGCTTCAGAAATCTGGAACAGGGCTTCTTCGTGTGATGCAAACAGTACGAGGGCCAACAGGATCCCAAGAAATGGGTACTGGCAGAAATACACGACAATCACTAACGCCATTCTGCTTGGCGAAGCGACAATCTTTGCTTTGATTGTTGAAAAGATGCATCCCAGTATTGAACGTTTAATTCTTCCTGTCTTATCTAGGACATGTGGTGTTCCAGGAAGGACGAGTGCAAGCCATGATAATACAAGGGAATACCTTGCGAGTAGCGTTGCCGCACAGGAAACCAGGAAAAACATTTCGGTGAGGTCGGACGGAAAATCATCGTCCAGCTCGCTGCCCGTGCTCAATTCTGACTATGCAAGCCAGCACCTGTAAACCAAAGTCATGTCAGTTGGTGACGCTGTAAGCCTGTGGAAGAATGTCCTTGCACT